CATGCTTGCAAAGCAGGCACTCTACCTCTCTGCCACACCTCCAGTCTGCTTTGGCTCTGGTTATTTCTGGAGATGGGGCCTGGCCTTGAACCTCAATCCTCCAGATCTCAGCCTCTGAAGTAACTAGGATTATAGGCACAAGCCACGGGTACCTGGTCCTGGTATATATATATATATATATATATATATATTTTTTTTTTTTTTTTTTTTTGTGGGACTAGGGTTTGAACTCAGGACTTTGTGCTTGCAAGTGCTTTATGGCTTGAGCCACGCCTCCAGTCTCCCCCCACCCACTTTATTACTTGGCTCTTGCTATTTAGAAGCACATATTGCCTTTTCAAATTTACTTATCTCATTTTTTCCTCTATTCTTCCAAAATTGGTATTTTAAATACTCCCATGGATGAGTAATCAGGAGACCAGGAAATTGTCAGTAGTGATTTAATTTCATTGTCTCAATTGTCTCCTGTTGAGGGGACTAACAATGTTTGCTCAACTGTTCAAGGTTGCTTGAGGTGACAATTTTATAAATGTGAGTGCCTTAAACAAGGAGCATTCTACAGATATCTATTTCAGTCTCCTTAGGACACTGTTTTCAAACTTCAATGCATTTAAGAATTACTTGATATGCTTATTAATTAAAAATGCAGATTTAGGGATGATTTTAGCTTTGGACTGCCATGAAGTGCGGCTACACAGGGTGATTTAGAAGGTCAGAGGTATGGGCCACGGAATCTACATTTTAAACAAGCTTCCCAGGTGATTACTATGGAAGAGAAAAAAAATCTTAACCAGATGCAATTAAACAGTGGGGGAGAGGGGAGACCCACATTGCCCCTCTAAGACTTTTTCTATTCGTTCAATCGCACCTTTCTCTGATTCAGCCAATTTGAGATCCTTCATTCCTTTCCCCATCCCATCCCTCTTTGTGTCTGGCATGGCATTGTCTTAGCAGAGTTAAAGGCACTCAGTTTAATGTGCAGAAATGGAGTCGAGGGAAAGGAGGAGGGACGTGGGAGGGGAAAAGCTGGAGCAGTGTTTAGCTATTCTAACTGCGAAGACTTGCTGGCTGGTTCTAGCCGGCTGGCTCTGGGAGAGGAAGCGGTGCCCAGAGCTACATTTACTGCAGCTGCTGTTCCTTTTCTTGCTGAAGGTTCTGCTATCAGACCTCCACCACCTTTTCTAGCCACGTGATTTTTGCAATACTCACACGAGATACTCTACAAATAGTACTATTTTAAGATACTGATAAACCATCCTGGATTCAGGGATTAAATTCATGTTTACAACTCTCCTGATTCAGTTTTGACCAAATCCCAGCTTGTTTTTGTCTTTAAACTCAGAAACATTTGCAACAGTGGTGCCTATGGGGCATCTAAAAGATTTTCAATTGACCTGCAATCTAGAAAAAACTTAGTGTTGCTCCATGAGTGAGTTATGCTTTTCTATATACACACCTAATAAAAGCAGAATCAAGAGCCAAGGAGAGCCAGGGGTGGGGACACATGCCTATGTAATTCCTGCATTGGGAGGGTCAGAAGTTGGAGTCCAGCTGAGGTGCCAGTGCCTCATGCCTGTAATCCTAAAATACTCAGGAGGCAGAGATCAGGGGGATCACAGTCTGAAGCCAGCCCAGACAAATAGTTCGTGAGCCCCTATCTGGAAAAACCCTTCACAAAAATAGGGCTGGTGAAGTGGCTGAAGGTGAAGGCCCTGAGTTCAAGTCCCAGTAACACACACACACAAAAGTTGGAGTCCAGCCTGGGCTACATAGTGAGACTATGTCTTTATAAAAAGTTGGCTGGCTGGACCTGGGCAAGATTGTTAGGTAGATTTTGTTTTCATCAAACCTTTGCTTTCATATATCTTCCTGGTATTTTGATGTTCTGTCACCAGGAACTTAAAAATTCTTTGTGCTGCCATTGTATTCTAACCAGCGAATGTGACTGAACAACTGAATTGAGCAAATATCATGTGCATTCAACACAATCAAATATAATTTAATTCTAACATCTCTGTTGGATTATACTTAGGTGCACATTAAAATCCCCTGAAGAGCTCTAACCTCTTGGCTCCCTTGGAATTGATCACCCATGGATACCAAGGGACACCTGTGTTTATTAATTCATGAATAACTTATGCCAATTTAGAAGTAGCTTAAATATTTATCCTTAAATATGCAGGTAAGTAGAATAAGAACCTGAGAGGTTAAGTTACTATAGAAGATCACACAGGCAGTGGAACAGGAAATCCAATCTAGACAGCCTGGCTCCAGCAGCTTCGCCCTTGTTATACTTCAGCTCTTAAAAGACTCTCAGTATCCTTAGGGAAATCAGCAAAACAAAACAAAACAAAAAACCAGGCAGCAGACATATGATGAAACTATACTAGTAACCGAATGAGAAAGGAGTGATGGACAGAAGTTGTTAGCTGAGGTGACTGAGAAGGGGACGTAACCTACAAGGAAAGCTGGTGAGGACAGGCAAAAGTCCTTGGATTTCAGTGCCACCTAATCTCATCCATTTTTGGAAGCTCTGTGGCTCTTATGTATCTAGGGATAAAAGCAAACTTGGTGTGGTTTAGAGAAAGGATAGACTGAATTTGTCTCAAAGACTTCACCCATTGAGATGCTCTCACATTCACGGACATGCAATGAATATATATTGCTATTACCACACATACCTAAACCTTGTGTAATTTCTCTGTAATTGCCATGTGACTATTTTGGCATCAACTTGAATAATAATGAATATTGAGCACTTACCATTTTACATGCATTATGTTTGAGTTACCTTCTTAATCCTTATCACTTAATAGAGTAGTGCTAATGAGCTCTTCATTTTGTTGGTGAGAAAACTGAGATTTATGGAAGTTAAGCAACAATCCCTTGTAGCTAATAAGTAAAGCTGGGATTTCAAATCAGATTTATTTGACTCTGGGGGATGCTAAGTTACTTATAGGACTTCCCAAGGGATTCAACTGACCTTAGAGCCTTCTGACAAATAATTCACTGGTTAAAAATAAATGGTGGATGATTAAGCCAAAACAAGTTTCTTAGTACTTTTGAGAGCATATGTTGCTATCCAAAGGAAATAAAAGACCATACCTGTGTACACATCAATCATGAAGCCTTAAAGGTTAAGACTGAATCTATTATGTACAGCCTCTCTTGGCTCTGGTTGTGGAAATGGTGAAAATTTCAGCTCCCTCATTACTTTATACAAAAAAATATGGAGAGTGAAATGATCATTATTAACGTGAACCTTATTTTATCAACATAGTGAATAAGCCTTATTGGATTTGTTTAAAAAGTAGTCCCCTCCCCCACCCTTGATGTAAGTCAAAGGTAGTATTGTATTCATCAAGAATATTTTGGGATGTTTGTGGTAGTTTAATGGGTGACAGCATTTTTGAAGTTCAACTGGCACAGAGAGTTAATAGTCTGATATTCCCTATCTAGTACAACCCAAGGTTCTTGGCCTTGGATGGTCAGACCAGGGCTGTCATTTTTTTCCCAGGCAGCAGGGGCCCAGGGTCAGCAAGACCCTGCTGTAGGACACAAGTTATTCCTTTAGAGTTAGCAAGACAGAATGTGATTTTTTTTTTTTTTCAATGAACACCCAAAACGTCATTCTCAGTCATCAGGTCTTCTGACTCCCCTGTCTAACTCCTATATCAGGTTCTAAGGACTCTCAGTACCCTGAAGGAAGTCAGCAAAAACACTCCTAACAGATGATGAAATTATTGGGAAAGAAGTGCTGAGTAGAAGTTGTTTGGGTGAGGTTATTGAGAAGCGGATGTGACCTGTAAAAACTAGTTAGGACATTGTTGTAGCTCACATCCAGAATGACTAAAATTATTTGGAAAATAATTCTAGACAGGTAAAGGAGGTCCAGAAAAAGGTAGTAATATAACTGAACATATTCAAATTCTTAGCGTCCTTGAGATTATGATTTTACTTCTTCATGGGGTTTTAGAATTTACAAAATGCTTACTATAACAACTTTCATTCTCACAGTAACCTTCGAATAGACTTTTAGGTTTATACTGGTTTGTAAGTGTAAGTGGCAGAGCTGGTTGCATCTATATCTTCAAATCTGCGCGTTATAGACATAGTCTTTGGGACAGGAGTTTGCAATGCAGCCCAGGATGGCCTTGAACTTGCAATCTTCCTGCCTCAGCTCTCCCCTTCCTCCCTCCCACCCCCATAGTGCTGGGATGTAGTTTTAAAATTTGCTTCTCCCTATACAAAGACATTGTCCGTATCCATGCATGGATAAGGACCATGTTACAGACATCAATGATCTTTCTCCCCAGATCTTTGCCTCCTGGAGGGCAGGACCAGGGGAAGAGGACTGGAGGAGGCCGAGAAGGGCCGGGTAGGAGGCGCGGTTCGCAGGCAGGACACTGCGTGGAGCTCCAAGGGGATGGGGGAGGCTCGCGGCCTTGTCGAGTGCAGAGGGCTGCAGCCTCAGCAGGGACTGTGAGGACCGGGAGGGCGCACAACGGAAGGGACTGATCTCGCGATTTCGAGTTGGGACCAAATCTCGCCCCCCACCCGTTTCCCTTTCTCAGCGAGGACGGTTTGGGGCGGGTGGGAAAGCGCGTGCTCGGGGCGCTCTCGAGCTCCCTACTCCAGCGCGCGCGTGTCCGTCGCTCTGCAGCTCGGGAGGCCAGCGATGGCTGTGGCCGCGGACCGGGACCCGGGCGGGTCTCCATACAGGTGTCAGATCCGCGGGGCTGGCTTCCTCCTTTCCTCCAAGGCCCTCGACCCCTGCCCGCCGAGCTGCGAAGCCGAGAGGGCGGGGCGGGGCCGGGACGGGGCGCGCGCGTGCGCTCTGCTCGCGGGTGGGGCGGGGCGGGGCGGGGGGCGCGCGCGACGCCTAGGTCTGGGGGAAGCGCGGGGCGGCCTCGGCTGGCGTCGCGCGCGCGCGCGCTCTCTCTCTGTGTATGTAAACGGGGCCGCGCGCGCGCGCGCGCGACAAGCGAATGAGGGAACGAGGAGCGGACGGGCGCGAGCTTGTGGGAGTGAGTGAGTGAGAGAGTGAGTGACTGAGCGAGCGAGTGAGTGTGTGTGTGGGAGTGGGGGTGAGAGAGAGGCATCCCGACCGCGAGGCCGTGAGAAAGTGGGCGAGGACGCGCGGCCTGGCTGCGGGAGCCGCGGGCGGCGGAGGAGAAAGGAGGCGGCTCCCGGCATCCCGACCCCTCCCCCTCCGCCTCAGCAGACTTCCAGCCGGACCCGCGGCCCGCGCTTCCTCCGAGGCCGCAGCCCGGCCCGGCCAGGCCGCCGAACCAGGTGAGCGGCGGGCCGCTGGTCCCTCGGCGGCGTGGGGGCGTCGGCGGGGGCGCGCCTCGGGGTCGCCGGGCCGGGCCGGGCCGGGAGGGGCGGGCGGAGCGCGTCGGGCCCGTCAGGGGCTCGGGAGGCCCCGGGAGGCGAGGCGGAGCCCCGAGGTCGCCCGGGTGCGGGGGGCCGGGGACGTGCGTGAGGGAGGCAGAGGCCTCGCCGGTCGGGTTTCCTGCCAGGAGGGGGGTGTGGTGACCCGGGGATGCTGGCGGCAGTGAACCTGCGGTGGCCGACCTGTCTGTCCCCAGGGGTGTGGCTCCGCTTGGTCCCTGTTCTCTCGGGAGAATTCCGCGATGGAAAGGTGGGGGGTGGTGGTGGCTGTGTGGTTCACCCCGCGCTTGCTGTCCTTAACTGAAAATTTTGGAGAGTCATTCTCCCTTTTCCTTTGACGGCTTTCTGGATAGGAAGAGGGTGACCAAATAATTGCTTGTCCATAGGATTATTCTCCCCCAGTCCCATATAGAGGATAACGTCACCCTTATTAATTTATCTTTGACCCCAGATTTGTAATCCCAGGATCTGATCCTGTTTGTGAATAGAGGTGGGGCGTTAATTCTGTTCTATCAATGGCGTTATTATACTAACTGTGCTGAGGAAAACTAGAATGTAAATTCTTTCAATTTTTTCATTAATTGCATACATCTTCCCCAAGTCTTTGTGGAGTTGGGTTAAATTCTTCGTCAGTGTGGAAAGTATACCAGTTTAATAAGGAAGATTTTCCTTTTGTCAGCTTTGTTATTTTATTACTAACTGTAACCATTAAGACGCAAATGTTATTTAAATCTTTCTCCCTTTCACAATATTGTGTAGTTTTAAAAAATCAGTTCTATTTTGTTTTAAGTCTTTAAAAACAGTTAATTGGCAGAAATACTTTTAAGGTACTCATCTGGAATGAAACACAACTTCCAGTTATGGCTATATAATGTTAAAAATTTTTAATTGTCACTTTAATTTTAAGAAGTCATAGTTAATTCCTAATAGTTCTGTGTGTTACCGGGTTAGTTCGTGAAAGGAGAAAACTATTTTGTTTTCAAGTACTCTTAGAAAGAAACCTATCTCATCAGTGCTATTAATTTCAGTTATTAGTTTGGCAAATGGCTTTTTTTTGTTTTGTTTTGTTTTTTAATCAATCTTTCTCTGTCTCCCTGTTCTTTCATGTCTTCTCTTAACTCCATCAGGTGCTGGAGTCCTTTGTCAGGGAGGGGGGCGGTCTGATTCTGAGGAAAGAGCTAAGGGAGAAGAGCAAATTCAGTCACATGCAGTGTGGGGGGAGGGAGTTGGGTAAGAGCTGAGCATCTAAGCCAGAGCCCATTGCTCAGCTGTAATTCTACTTACCTAAGTTTATAGTGTATAGTTTTTGTATTTTTCTTATCTTTCTTTAGAGTTCCCATTGAATACAATGACTTCAGGAGTTGCACCTGGAGACAGGTGAGAGTAACAGCCCTCCCCTTCCCTCTTTTCTCTCAGTCTCCATTTGCTCTCGGAAATTACTAGCAAAGTCTTAGATGTTGTCTACCCCTTTCTCAGCCATATTGTGAAGAAACACACTAAAGTGGACATTCTTTTTTTTCTTCTGATCATTGAACATGAACCAAGTGTCAGGCATAAGTTTGGGACACATGGACAAGCATATCTTTGATTTGCTTTTTTCTTTTTGGTGGTACTGGGATTGAGTTTAGGGCCTCAGGATTGTTAGGCAGGTGCTCTACTATTTGAGCCATGCTCCCAACCAAAACATCTTTTAGGTACCTCTCTATTCCCCCTTTTCTCTGGGGCTTACTATTGAGCATAAAGTCAGTAGATTTTCTTAAAGCTCCCTTTTCTGTGAGCTGGATGACTGATGGACCATGACCACTAGTAGGAATTGAGGGAAAGGAACAGAGCAGAGAGTTGTTCATCTTCCAGGAAGCAGGCATAGAGACATTGTACTGAGTGAAAATAGGTGGAGGAAGAACTTCTATACCCATGAGAAAAGCCAAACATAGAGTAAGGAGGATAGCTTATTGTTTGCTCCTTGCTGGCAGCTGTTTTGGGGGACACTTTAGTGATATAAATTCCTAAAGAGACTATTTTTACAGCAGGTGAGTTTGCAGAATATTCTGAAAGTGGGATTAAGTCAACAAGTGTAAGAGAAAATAATCTTTAGAAATTATGATACTTATTCTAAAACCCAAAGGAGATGATTGTGATAGGATCAGTGATACAGGTATTACTTAAAAATATTAGCTGTGCTGACATGTGCAATTGTCTTGAGAGGTTGAGTAGAGGGATTAGGTACAGATGTTGGGGAAATTGTCTTTCATTACTTGGAGTTTTCCTGCTTGTCATATTAGGATTGTTCAGAAATAAAATAGTACTTCCAAAAATATCTTGCACATATGTATTTTAGATTCTTGTGCCATGGGTCTGTACACTCTAGGCTTGCAGAAAAAGGACTGACTTTCTAACTTCATAGTAACTAATGCTGTGCTGTTATTTTAATTTTCCAGGGTATGTGTGGTAGTGGGGGGGGGGTCTCTCTCTCAAACTGGCCAGGAGGACAAAGCCACAGCTAGCCACTTTTCCCTTAGAAGGTGGTCTGCATGGAACTCATCTGCTTATATCTTTTACATCTTTTTTCCTCTTACTGAAACTTTGTTTTTTGTTTTTTTTTTTTTGTTTTCACCTGTTTCAGGATCAGTGGTATGATAATGGAAAGTTGCATTAGGTTTTTTGAGTAGTGCTGGGGATTGTACCCAGGGTTTTGTGCATGTTAGGCAAATGCTATCTCAATTATACCCCTAAAACTCCCCCCCACCCCATGTACTTTTCAGAGAAACTTTAAAAAAAAATTGACAATTACATTTAGATCTTAAGGGGACACAAATTTGCCTGGTATTTAGTATTGATTTGGCATAGCCAACTCAGTAATTCCTTAGCTTGTCAGTTTATGTTCTCTGCTGCCCACTGGGGATAGCAGCAGAGAATAACACAAATTTGGGTTCTGTCTTCATGGAGGTTTCAGTCAAGTTTCAGTGATCACTGTACTTTTTAATCAGTTAGTTCTCCCATTAGTGTCTGGAGAAGTGTACTAAGTTCTCATGAAATGTGTACCATCTTGTGGATTGACAAGTTGACTAAACAAAAACCTGTGTTTATGTGCCTGATTAATTTTACTACTTTTTTTTAACCCCCCCCAAAGTAACCATATGTTATGAGTTTATAATAAATTCAAAACTATCCATCCCTTAAATGTGTTCACTCTGTGAAACATTAGCTCCTTGTATTCCATTTTTTTTTCTTTTTCTCCTGACACTAGCTTCATGTCTTAAAAGTTTAGACATAATTTCTCAAATACAATGTAGAATTGCTATGTAAGATCAGAGACCATTTTTTTGCTAATTTGCGCTCCCATTTTGGGCAGCATTTGAGCTTTTGGTACTTTTATCAGAAAACTGCATCTGAAATTCATAAAAATTGACCATAGTGATTTGGAATTCTCCCCTTGGTGATTTGGGGTGCTCAGCTGTTAGGTTATTTCTCTGACCTGTAATTTAGTTAGTCAAGCCTTGGGCTTGAGTAAATGAGTAGAGTTTTAACCCTTTTTCAAAGTACAGTAATATCTGGAAAGAAAATACGAGGACAGGCCTGATATTTATGTTATATACTTTGAGCTGCACTTATGCATTGAATCTCAGGAACTTTTTCCAAAATGTGTGCCATGTTCCAGGCCTATTTGTAACTTTTCTATATTAATTAAAAACATTGGCAGTTTTACTTGGATTTCAGAGAGCCTTTCCGCCTTGCCTTTTTATAATGCTTTGTAGGTTTTTACACTATAGTCCAAATTTTGGGAGAATTTTAGTAATCAAGCTACATATAATTTAAGTAAAAGCATTTTTATGACTCTAGTTGGAAAAATGAAAAAATTTGCAGTTCATGTATGGATTTTAAAAATTTTTTTCTAGGGTCATAAAATACACAGGAAATGATTTTAAGATGTAAAGTTCAGTGGCATTGAGTACATTCATGTTGTGTGACCACTGACTTCAAAACTGACCCTCCATGCAGTAAACAAATCCTCATTTCCCTAATCCAGCCTCTGGCAGCTACTGTTCTACTGTCTATCTCTATGGATTTGACTAGTCTGGGTACCTTATGCAATGTTTGTCATTCTGTGACTGGCTTATTCCATTTAGCAGTGTCCTTAGAATTCATCTAGGCTGTAGCATGTATCAAATACTATTCCATTGTGTGTATATACATCCTGATTTGCTTATTCATGCATCTGTAGATATCTGGTTTGCTTCTGCCATGTGGCTGTTACCAGTAATGCTGCTGTGAACATGGATGTACAAATGTCTGTTCAGACCCTGCTTTCAGTGCTTTTGGGTTTATACCCAAATATTTACTTAGTTGAGGTCTTACTATACAGCCCAAGCTGGCCTTAAACTCCATCTTATCCTCCTTAGCGCTGGGGTTGCCTTTGTGTCCTCACACTGGCTTCTGGTTTCATTTCTTTTGTTTTGTCTCTAATATGTAGTCAAAGCTGGCCTGGAATTCAGCTATATAGCCCATGCTGGGTTCCAACTCCTGATCCTCCTGCCTCTGCTTCCCCAGTGGTGGAATTACATGTGTATATCACCACCATGCCCAGCTGTATTATTATTTTTTTTAAATGGTAGCTATCCTAATGAGTGTGAGGTGGTGGTTAGCTGTGTGTGTGTGTGTGTGTGTGTGTGAGTGAGAGGGCCAACCAGGGTGGCCTGAGATCAGGTCTTACCTTCTCAACCTCTTCAGTGTTGGGATTAGAGATACACAGCTCATTGTAATTTTGATTTGCTTTTCACTAACAAGTTATGTTGAATTTCTTCCTTATGACGTTTTAGCATCAGATCCTTTTTACCTTTGTGGTAACACTATGTCTAATTTTTTTGAACTCTGGTATCTTCAGGTGTAGTGAAGATAGGCACTTAAATAATGAATTACTTAACTGACTACTTAGTCTTGTCTACTTAGTACTACTGTTTTCATACTTTGCTTATCTGGAATTGTGACTAATTTTTAACTTTGAATAGTTTGCTAGTCAATTCTAGTATTTTCCCCCCCTTCCCCCTGCCCCCTCCCATATACCCCCCCACTGCTCCCCCCACCCCCCTTCCCCCTTGCTACCCGACAGAAACTATTTTGCCTTTATCTCTAATTTTGTTGAAGAGAAAGTATAAGCAATAATAGGAAGGAACAAGGGGTTTTTGCTAGTTGAGATAAGGATAGCTATACAGGGAGTTGACTCGCATTGATTTCCTGTACACGTGTGCTACCTTCTAGGTTAATTCTTCTTGATCTAACCTTTTCTCTAGTTCCTGGTCCCCTTCTCCTATTGGCCTCAGTTGCTTTAAAGTATCTGCTTCAGTTTCTCTGCGTTGAGGGCAACAAATGCTATCTAGTTTTTTGGGTGTCTTACCTATCCTCATACCTCCCTGTGTGCTCTCTCGCTTTATCATGTTCTAGTATTTATTAGAATGTAGAAATACTAAGAGTCATGATAAAAATGTAAAAGTGTTTTTTTTTGCTAGTGTGAAGAGAGTCCTATTTAAATACTTAATATTCCTTGCTTGCATGCAATACTCAGTGATGTCAAGGGAGTAATTTCTAATTTGTTTTATTTTTTATTATGGTATTGGGGGTACATTGTGACATTTTAAAAAGTCCAGTTTTTGAACAGGGTATAAGGTATAATTGTTAGGATTAGATCCAGTGACCTGTAACAGAGAACCCTTAAATATCATCAGCGATATATCAAAGACATTTAGAACTTTGTACAGTTGTCAGTGTTCACGTCTTTTAAATTTAGGTGCTCATACTTTCTAGGCAAGTGCTCTAACCACCTGACCCACACCCCAAACCCAAGTTCTTTCTAACACATACCTGTGTCTTTGCCAGGGTTGGCCTGTGTCCTCAGCATCCACGTGGTTGCTAGAGCTGTAGTCATAACAGTCATATTTCAGGTATAGGATGAAGGAAGAGCTATGGAAGAGTATACCTCTTAAGTATGGTCTGGAAGTTGCAATGTAGTACTTTCACTCAAATCTCTTTGGCCAAAGTTAAGTTACATGACTGTATCTAGCTGCAAGAAATTCTGTGGGATGCGTTATTTTATTTACATGGCATTACACCCAACTAGGTTTTAGGTATTAAATTACTGAGGAAGAGGTAGAAAATGGATGTTGGGAGACAGTTGGCAATATCTGTCATAGAATGTGAGGATTTTGAAGTCATTCTTGTGAACTTTATCACTTTCAAATTGAGACTTTATACAATCCTAGCTCCTGTGCTAGAACTTCACTGCCAGATGAAGTTAAAAGGGATGACTATAAACATTAGAATAAACTAACATTATTTGGTACATAAAATCACTCAGAATGTGAATTCGTTTTCTTTATCCGCATTCCCTGTGGTGGTATTTTTATGTATAGTGGAAACAATACAAAAAGAAATCAGAAAATCCTACTCCAGTCCTGGCTTTACTGCTGTGTCCTTGGTGGTCTTTGTTTAAAATGGTGATAGTATATGCACCACTGGTCATTGTTAGGATTATGAGTGTCTCCCACAAAGAAACCATGACCTATGTACCTCGTGCTCCATGCCTGACCAGAGAGCTGAGTTTGTAGAATCCCTGTACTGCCCTTCCAACAGTGGGTGGTTTGCCTCCAGCTTTCCTGCCACCTGTACCAGGACTGCTCCTGGGCCACCTGCCAGGTGTCATTCTGGAAACTCAACCTGAGTGACAGGTGTCTGAATGGGGTGTTCAACTATGAGTCAGATATCTTAACAATACCTGTCAGAGGTTTCATGTGCAAAACATGTTGACAAAGTTTTGTAACCCTTCAAAAAGGGAGTTTTAATTGTGTGATTACAGAATCCCTGAAAAAATGATGTTGCTTACATCTGTAGCCTGTGCAGTTCCAACAGCTGATGTCAGTATCAGCAGAACATTTTTGCTTTCCAAGTGCCAGTGGCTGTAACATCTTGTTCTGATTGCTATTGGGCAGGAACTGTCACTCATGTGGAAGGCTAGCATGCAATAAAATTAATCATCCATGAAGAGTTGAGGTTCAAAAAGCAAGGGAAGCACTGACCTGGCTCCAGAGTATTGGAAGTTAATGACAGAATATTTTTTGTGGTAACTGGGGTTTGAACTCAGGGCCTCTGCTCACAAGGCAAGAGCTGTATGACTATGAGCCACCTCCCCAACCCTTTTAGTTATTTTTCAGATAGGGCCTTGTGTTTTTCCTTGAGCAGGCCTCAGACTGTGATCCTCTTCCAAAGCTCTCCCCTAACTGGAATTATAGGGATGAACCAGAGCACCCAGCTGTTGGTTGAGATGGGGTCTTGGAAACTCTCCCCTTCCCCCAAGGCTATCCTCAAACTACCATCTTCTCAATTTCAGCCTCTCATATATCTAGGATTATAGAAGTGAGCAACTAGGGCCCAGCAAAACATTTTTTACAGTTCCTTCCTCAAGGGAAGGTAAGGATCTTCTGTTGATCCTCTGGTACAGCCATTTGTTTTGTGGAGCTTTGCCTTTCGATTGTTTCCCCAGGTCCTGGAACGCCCTGTGTAACGATAATCTGTCTTCCTAGTGAGCACTTGTACCATGTGCAGGGTCTCTGTGGGTACAAGGCTTGGTTGGGATACACTTGGGCTTTCCCTCTGGTGTCCACAGGGAAGAGATTATAGTACTAAGCCCCCTTTTTTAAGTTAAGATACTCTTTAAGTTAAGATTAAGGTGAAGATTGTGCAGGCTTTTACTGTACCTTTCCCACAACTAGGGTCCAAGTGAAAATCTTTATCAGAACACATTAGTGGGAGAAAAGTTTATCAACAACATTTGTTGTTCAGGTGTGATGGCCAACATTCCTGTAGGATCTTGAGATTGAGGCCAGCCTGAGCTACTTAGTGAGACCCTAGCTCAAGACAAAGGACACCCACCTTCCCCAAATAAAACATCTGGAAATTGTATCTGTACTGAGCACGTATGGACTTTGCTATTACTTCAACAGTACTGCATAACAAGTGTTTACAGAGCCTTTACATTGTATTCAGTAATAGAAGTAATCTAGAGATGATTTAAAGTACACAGGAAGATGCATGCAGGTAATGTGAAAATAAACTGTTTCATATGGACTTGAGCATGCATGGATTTTAGTGAGCCCGAAACAGGGATGAGGAATGAGGTCAGACTTCTGGAACCACTCGTCCCTGGCCTTGGATACAAAGAATAAGGGTCAGCTGTATTTGAAGTTTTTGTAGGATTTTGAAAGAAAAAAAAAAATTCCCCTCTCATTCTTAAACTTGTAACCATTTTGCTTCTCAACTGTTGTCTTACTGTATGATTCAGACTCAGCAAAGTGGCACTCTGTCTCTGGGAAAAGTCCTCTTTTTTTTTTTGCATTCTAATAACTGTTTCAAAATTTCTATTTAAGGAATACAAACACTGAGTAAGAACATGCTGTCCTGAAATAGCGGTATACTATTTAGCGAATGGACCAAGGCATTTACTTGGGTTAATTAAAGTCCACTTACTCATTCTGCAGATAGTGCATAAATGATGTCAGCATTTGCTTATCTAGTACTGTGGATGACACTGTCTAAATTTCTACATAATTATAAAGCAAGGGAATAAAGTTGAATATAAAACTAATAGATACAAAAATAGTGATGGGAAAATGGAATCTTGTTGATATTGGAATCTCATTAAGAAAGAATTTGCATTTTCAGGAAAGGGGTAAAACAGTGGAGAGTAGATGATTAAAATATTCCTAGACAATACTAATGCAGGGAATGACATTGAAAGTCTCTGCAGTGTGACCTGCTGTAATTGTTGAATTATTAAGACTGTACTGGAAACTGGGAAAATGGAGAAATCTTGTTTCAGGAAAGAGTGCCAGTTTCTAAACTTAGTGGTATACAATTTTTAATTCTGAATGAATGAAAAGAAGGAATAGTATATCTCTACATGGTCCTGTTTCTATAGTATTTGCACATTATATATGCATTTTTCTCTTCCACCTAGATAAAGTTTACATTCAAGAAAAGAGGAAATAATCCAGAAAAGGAAAACAAATCAAGATGTGTAGCTCTGTGGCCGCCAGGTTGTGGTTTTTGACAGATCGTCGCATCAGGGAAGACTATCCCCAAAAAGAGATCTTACGAGCTTTGAAGGCCAAATGTTGTGAGGAGGAGCTGGACTTCAGGGCGGTGGTGATGGATGAGGTGGTGTTGACAATTGAGCAAGGAAACCTGGGTAAGTCTATGCTGTGTGATGAACCATATTATGTAGGATAGTGGGAGGGAAATTCTAACAAGTGCTCCAGTACCATTATATATATACTTATATATACACAGACACACATCTATATATAGGTTTGACTTCAGGAATCTCTGGTTTTCTGCTTTTTTTTGGCATTACTAGGGTTTGAACTCAGTTTCTTACTTGCTAGGCAGGCATTCTACCACTTGAGGCACTCCATCAGCTCCATGTGTTGATGGGTACCTAGGCTATGCCATAATTTGGCTATTGTGAGCAGTGCCGCAATAAACATTGGAGGCCAGCATCTCTTATATTTGTTGACTTCATTTCCTTCAGGTATATATTGAGAAGTAGCATAGCTGGATCATATAGAAGTTATTTTTTATTAGCTGTTTGCAGAACCCTGGAGGATAATTTGATAGGCTGATTAATATATCCAGAAAATTTGTTTACTTATTAAATGTTGCTATAGATTTAAATAAGTAGAATTACTTACCAGTGTTTATCAGCCTTCTTTTAATATTTTATCTACGGTACCTTTGAGCATCTATTGGTTCTATGTAGTGAATAAGTATTTCTGGCCTCTTGGGATATAATTACTGCCTTTATGAAGATTATGCCCACTTTATTTTCAGTCCAGTTCTATTTTCAGCATATACCTACCTTCTCAGATTATGTTACTTCATTCAGCACCACTCCCACATGCTTCTGGTCTACCTTTCTGTGTTGTAAACGTTAGAAAACCAAAGGCTGCAGCCAAGATTCCTTAAGAAATGGAGTTGGAGATGTGACTAAAGTTGTAGACCTTTGCTATTAATGCCCAGAGTGAGTTCAAAGCTCACTATTGAAAAGAAGGAAGGAAAACCTAGTTAGTGTCTGCTAAATATGCAAAATTTGGAAGGTGGATAGACCATTCATAACTAAGTAAAATATTTCATAGGTTCAAAAAGAGCTAGGATTGAAAAGCATTGCTCTTGATTTTTTTTCCCCTCAGTTGCCCACTGGACATTTTCACAGAGTTTTCAACTGCCATTTCATTCTATGCCAGTTTGTCAAAGTTTACCTGTAAAGCTATCTTATCTCAGTCAGCTTCTCTTTCTGCTTATAACATCACCTTTGTCCCATTAGCCTGACTTCGGCCAACATAATATTTTTTTAAATTATTGAGCGACAGTTTGCCACAATTTTGTTTTTCTTGTAAGCCATAACTATTTTATTTTCCTTTCACTGTTGTGGGTCAGGCTGTCATGGCCTCATTGTAATGACTGCAGCAGCCATTTAGTTCTTTTTCACATTGGTTGTTCCTCTCTATCACTTTGACATCTTCATTAACATCCATTAAAAGATTTTAGAATAATTCAGTCAGTTACTTATTTTCTTGGTGGGATCAGGGTTTGAACTCAGGGCTTCACATTTGTGGCACTCTACTGCTTGAACCACACTTATACCTCCAGTCCATTTTGCTCTTGTTATTTTTGGAGATGGGGTCTACATATGAAGTATTTGTGGCCTTGAACCACAATTTTTCTGATTTCAGTCTCCCGAGTGGCTAGGATTACAGGCATGAGCTACTGGCACCTGGCTTAGAGTAATTCCCTTCGTTATGATGTGGGATGAGATGGTGATGACATATGACAAGACATCTGTTGTCCCTAGACCTTGCCCCTTGAATGCTGTTATTGCAGATAACCAAAACTATCCCATCAAATGTTAGGGAATTGTGAAGACTACACTAATGTGGATAAAGTTATTTGCTTAGTTTTTAACCTGTGGTAAACTCTTATTCTTAGCTATGCATCTCCTCTCCCTTTATAAACAACATATGGATTTTGTTTTGAGAAATTTTCTCTTTGATATTATAGCTTTGATGGGCTATTAGGCAAGGTGCTCTGCTTTTATTATTATTAGTAAGGTAGGCTATAAGTTAGAACATTTCTTTTGTCTCCTCTTTGAGTTTGAGCAGTTTGACTCAAGGACAGAAGGAAAAAGGTGGAAATTAATCTTTTTGCTATGGTACTTTGATAAGACAATGTTGTTTCCTGCTTCCTGGATTCCTAGAATTGCCCTTCATCTTTTCTCTGAACCTTATTTTCTCATTATCATTAATATTTTTTAAATACAGGGTGGTGTTATGTAGCCCAGCTGGTCTTCAGCTTAGCCCTCCCAAGTGCTGGGGGGTTACAAGTGTGTGCATTGCTGTCCGTATTCTTTATTGGTTCTGTGTGGAATTCTTATGTTCATCTGATTTTTTTCTGACCAAATTAACCAGAGATGTTTGAGTTGCTTACAAATCAAATAACCTCAATTGATAGCAGTTAATCTAGAGGGCAGATTGCAAATGGTAGGACTGGCAGAGTGGCTCAAGTGGTAGAGGCCCTGCCTAGCAAGCATGATGCCCTGAGTTCAAAACCACAGTACTACAAAAAAGAAAAAAAAAAAATTGCAGGCAGTAGACCCTCAGAATAGGTTACCTGACACAGCATGGTACACACAGTAGTGAAACCGTCACCTTTATTCTCTTGGAACCATAGCTATTGCCACAGAATATATTAAAGTTTAGTGTTGGGAATTTGCAGTTGGGAAACTAGAATGTCTGTTTAAACAGCATTGGAGAACTTAAAACAAGAGAATGAATGAACAGTTCTTCCAGGCAACTAATGGAATTCAGGAGCTTTCCTATATTTGGGGCTGTAGGTCTAACCTATTAGAGTACATTCCTGCTAGAAGAAGTCTTCCAGTTATTATGCTGCTTAGGAAATTAGCACAGCTAGGGTTTTGGGAAGAATGTGTGTGACATTATAAGAGCTTCAGTTTTACAAATACACAGTTCCTGATTATTAAACCAAACATTTGCAGTTGGGCAGACTGGTCTTGACTCATTTATTGCTAACTTGGATCTGTAAATAATCCCTTTGTCAATGAGGGACAAAATGCTTACTTTGTAATGTGCTCAGGATTGATTACTTTATGTATGTAAAATGCTCTGGGATTGTATCTGACACATAATACTCAGTAAACAGTACTGTTTAATAACTTTTCAGAAAAAGATGGTATTCACTTGTTTATGTACAGTACATTTGGCAGTTGTGAAATTGGGATGATCTGATGTAATAAGATATTGTCCAAGAGTTATCCCAGTGGCAAGTCACCAAAGAGGTCATGGGAGTAGCAACTACTAAGTTGAACTAGAAAAGAATTATTCCCCTGAAGTCAAACTTTGGCTATCACATGTTTATAGCTGCATTCAGAAAGTTAAAGGTATTAATGAAATTGTGTAAGTTTTTCTTGATTGCCAAAAGTTGATAGAATAGATTGAATTTTAAAAAAATTGACTAAACATGGAGCCACTTTTAAACAGGAAGTCAGTCCTGGTTCAAAGTGTTGGGGTGGGAGGGATGCTTTAGTAGTCTGTTGGAAGACTGAAGTACATTTTCATGGTGACTTATCAGTGACTTAAACATTTTTCCACTTAGTTTCTATATAGCTTCTCTTTACTGTTTCATGTATCTTCTTGTTTCTAGTACTGAGTCTATTATTCATCAACTGTTATACCCAGGTAAGTTTAGGGCAAAAGAAAGAGTAAAAGGGATAAAGCTGCACTGGTAAGAGATAACATAGGTCATCAACCTTTCTCAAGAGACCATTCTGTGTTAAGAGTAATTAATTGACAACAACTAATAATTATTAAGCACTTACTGTGTGCTAATCATTTAAGTACTGTACATGCTCTTTTAGGTAAAGATGGGACTTATCCCATGGCTGATGTCTTAATAAAATAGGTGCTTAGCAAATTTTTCTTTTGCCAACTTCAAATCATATTTGAGCCAGTGTTTTGTTTTGCAGTCTAGGTTTAGAAAAGCTAAAGAGAATGTTCTCAAAGTCAGAGTTTGAATGTAAGCATTTACAAAATTTGATGAGATGGATGTAATTGCATTATTTTAGCATCACATTTCTTTACATGTGATACGTCTTAACCTTTTTTTCAACTTTGGTATATAGTTGGTTATCTCAGATTCCAAATTTTGTTAAAAGTACTTTATCTTGAATAAAAGGTGGTTTTAAAGCAGCAGCCACAATCTGATGATGCTTCTGTTTTACTTTTACCTCTCTTTTTTTCAAAGACTGTCAGCTGCAATGCAGCAGTGCTCGGTGATAATGAGGTGGGAACAATCTTCCTTTTGTTTCTTTCTGCACCACTGATGAAGAATCTAGGGAAGAAATTTTACTGGCTCTGGTTAATTCTCAGAAGAGCATACCTTCACAGAAAAATTTTGTCCATGCCTTGAATTAACAGCTAGGTAGGAGGTGTTAAAGAGGGAGCAGATGTCTTGAGAGGAGGCAGCTAAATAGACATGGTGGTTATATTCTTATATTATAAACTTCCTTTTTTTTGCTGCTTGATAATTGGTATATGAGTTTTTATTTTTGGGGGACTTGGATTTGAACTCAGGGCTTCACATTTGTAAGGCGGGGATGGCTTCAAATTGCAGTCCTTTTATTTCAGTTTTCTAAGTTTTACATTAAAGATAAGTATGGCATTTGGTAATAGTCCCTAAAAGATTCAGAGCACAAAAGGCAGAATCCTAAGAGCTGTCACTTTGTCTCTGGTTCTCCAGTCTTGGATTACCTTCTGCTTGCCTAGAATGACCTAAAGTGGTTACAGAAGGCATTGGGTTTCCTCCCATCCTCAATAATTTCATATTGAGTGTACTGTGCAGATTTGATTGTGCTTTTGGAAAGTACCCCCAGTTTTGGTGACAGCAGATAGGGCAATTCAACTAGTGGTATGGACTTTCTGCTTTTTTTATGCCAGTTTTTTTTTGTTTGTTTTGTTTTGTTTTGTTACGAGGTGAGAGTTGCCTCTAACTTTAGCTTAATGAGAAGATGATAATGGTCATATTTTTCTTGGCAGTTACTGATCACTGTTGCTTTTTTCATTTAATGAGTTTTTTCCATTTAATTAGTTTGATTATTCTCTCTTCATAATATTGTCTTATTTTTCATGCTATTACTTAGTACTAGAATTTTCTAGGGTTTTTTTTTTTTTTCTTTTGGCAGGATTGGGGTTTGAACTCAGAGCTTCGTGCTTGCAAAGCAGGTGCTGTACCATGTGAGCCACATCTCCAGTCAATTTTGTGCTGGTATTTTGGAAATTGGGTGTCATGAACCACTTGCCCAGGCTGGCTTTGAACTGCTTGATCCTCCCCATCTCAGCTTCCCAAGTAGCTAGGATTACAAGTGTGAGCCACCAACACCCAGCTAGAATTTTCCAGTTTTTTTTTTTTTTGACTGATATTCTCCCTTTGTCTTGTCTCTTAATTTGAGGTCCAATAATCCATTACAATTTGCTTGTTTCAATCAACATAGACTGTATATTTCTCATTTGACATCCTATGTCATAATGAAAATCTTTCTTATCTATATCCAAATTCAACATCTGCCCCACAATGACTTTCTTTTTTCAACTTTCTTAATTTCTGTATCCTTGTTTCCAAACCTTAATTTGATTGGTAGCTTTTTTCCAATTACAATGCTCTTTAGATTTGCCCATTGAGGCAAGCCATTTCTAAATCTTAAGAAATGAGGAAGTATAGAAGCATAGAAATCTGATGTCCATGATCTCAAAATGCCTATAGAAGCAGAATAAACAATTGTAAGTAGAGTGCCTGGAAGCCACCAGCAAACTCACATGTACTGTTGCCCATGTGCTTGTACATAGGCCCTATGAGAGAACGATTTCTTCCTTTCTTTCACCTTCAAAAGCCTGTGTGATTGTCAATACAATGGAATTCTGATGGCAGGGAACTATATGGGAGATGCTTCTAATTTCCTGCCATATGGGATAGGGATTCAAAGACGGGGATGGTGTGGAATAGGCAGTGTATATGTGCACACTCTCTGTTTCTTTAAGAACAGATATAAACCCATTAGCTCAGAATGTGTGGTTTTGCAAAATATGCAGATATATATTATATGGATGGATTATCATGGAGAAAGAATTGCATGGAGCACACACTGAAGTTTCTTATTGAGTTTTCTTCCTGCCTGCCACCCATTCACCATCAGAGGAAGTCAGTTATTTTATCCTTTCAGACATTTTATATGCATTGTATACACAATGCATACACAAAAAGTCATTGCATATCTGGAATTTTTCATTTCTGAGTATAGATGTTTCATGCCATTCTTTTTAATGACTAGGTTGAAATTAATTATATTGGCCTATACCAAAATTTAATCAGTGTAGGGATTCCTACATAGTTCTCTGTAAGAGAAATCCAATATGATATATTACTCCTAGACTATTTTATTGCATATTCCCTTCTAATGGTTTTGTTCTCATATGTTTTAGGTCTACGGATCAATGGAGAACTAATCTCTGCCTACCCCCAGGTGGTGGTAGTGAGAGTTCCAACCCCTTGGGTGCAAAGCGATAGTGACATCACTGTTTTGCGCCATCTAGAGAAGATGGGATGCAGGTTGATGAACCGACCTCAAGCCATCCTGAACTGTGTTAATAAATTCTGGACATTTCAAGAGTTAGCTGGCCATGGAGTTCCTCTACCAGATACTTTCTCTTATGGTGAGATCACAGATAACAATAGAAAGTCTTAGAAAGACTGATAGTTTTGAGATACCTATTAAACTAATAGGGTAGATTTTTGAAAGAGATTCTTTTGCTTTTGTGGTACTGGGGCTTGAACTCAAGGCCTCACGCTTGCTAAGCAGATGCTCTAACACTTGAACCACTCCACCAGCCCTTTGTGTGTGTGTGTGTGTATATATATGTGTATGTGTGTGTGTGTTGGGTATTTTTGAGGCAGGGTCTGTTTGCCTGTGACTGGCTTAAACTGTGATGCCTCCTGAGTAGCTAGGATTATAGGCATGAGCCACTGGCACCTGGTGTGAAAGAGGTTCTTATAGAAGTCAGTTTCAAGCTGGGCATGGTGTCATATGCCTGTCATCCCAGCATTTTGTATTACAGAGTTGCCAGGTTCCCAAGTTTGATGCCAGTCTGGACTACATAGTGACACCCTGTATCAAAAAAACCAAAGTGGAGCTGTGAGAGTTAACATTCAGTATTAACAAATTGGGCAGAAGTATTATATAGTGTAGAATGGTGGTATGTTAGCAAGCATTTTTGGAAAGGTCTTAGAGTAAATACTTGGTTTTTCAGACTATAAGATCTTTGTGGTGACCTTCAGTAATACTGTTTGTTGTAGCATGAAAGCTATTCTGAACAATGATTGCACAAATGGGCATAGCTCTGTTCCAGTAAAATGTTAGAAAAATTGGTGGTAATCCAAATCTGGCCTATCGGTTTTAGGATTGAGATAAAAGACAACAAAATATGATATTTCTGTTTGATACTTTCATAATAACTCAAAATTTTGGGGGGGTGGCATAATACTAGGGTTTGAACTTGTGAGGGTAGGCACTCACTAGCGATGCCTCCAGCCCTTTTTGCTATGGTTATTTTGAAGATAGGCCTCTTATTTATGTTTCCCACTGTAGCTAGGATGACTGGTATGTGCCACTTCACCTGGATTTTTTTCTGTTGAGATGGACTTGCAAACTTTCGGCTTGGGCTGTCCTCAACCATGATCCTCCCAATCTCAGATTCCCAAGTAGTTAGGATTACAGGTGTGAGCCTTTCATGCCTGCTGTGTTTTCTTTTCTTTTTTTTTTTTTTACTTAAGAAATAGGTCATTCTGCTGTGGATTAATATTTATGTGAAATATAACAAATGTCACAACAATACCAAGCTGCTATAAAACCTTATAGTGCTCAGTCTTTTCATATTTATCTGATCACATTTCATTAACAAGCAAGTCACAAGTAGCCACAGTTTATAAGACTGCACTGCTGTAGACAGTGTTATGTTCATGCATTTCTTATCCTTCCAGTCCTGCTAGTTTGGAAAAGATCAGTATAAAGTTTGAGTTTTTTTTCAAAGGTATTCAAATAAATGTGAGTAGAATGCTTAGAGATTTAGTGAGGCTTTTTAAAAAGAAGTCATACATGTGTGGATGCAGTTGTTCCAGCTAGCAGTTGCCCAAATAAGTTAGAATTAATGTGACTTTCTAATGCTGTGGGGATATTAGCTTATATCATGGCTCTGTAATCTTGGTTTTTGAGAATGTGAAGGAGAAAAAGGCCAACAAATCAAATGCTAATGGATTATAATTTAGTGGGTTGATCATTTTAATTTCTATAAATTGCAGTGATTTCATGAACCTTCTGGTTTTAATTTTTATCTCATGCTGATTTTTTTTTTACTATAGTCTATTTTTTGCTTTAATATTGCTGCCATATCTTGTAAGACAGTAAGAATCAAGACCTAACTAAGAATTCTGAGTACCTCAGTGTAGAAAGAATTCTAAAGAAGAGGGTTAGGTGTGAACATAAAGAGGGGTAGGTGTGAACATGAGTGTAGTACCTCTTCAACCCTGGATAAATCTTAACTAATTTGTTCAGTTTCTTTCATTTCTAGGAAAGAGACATTGTCTTCCCACTTAGTTGAGGCTAGCTTGGAACTCACTGTGTAGCTCAGGCTGGTGAAATTACAGTCCTCCTGCCTCATCTTCAAGTGCTGGGATTATAGTTGTGTACCACCATACCTTGGCTTTTGTTCAATTTCTTGTGACTAGGGAATTGTGTATGTTAAAGGTAATATTGGCTTCTATTATTTAGGTGGTGAAAGATAAGAAAAATAAGAAACATGGTTTGGAATAAAACTGGTTAGCCGAGATGTATTTAATGTATACAATTTATACTTTCAACTAATTTGTTTGGTCTATGAAAAATAATAGTCTAAGCTCTTACCTCCTACCTCTCTTGTGTTGCTGCTTTGGTATAGACAAAAGTTGATCCCAATGTACTTCTGTTGCTGTTCTTAAACTTCTTTTATGCTCTAATAGGTGGCCATGAAAATTTTGCTAAAATGATTGATGAAGCAGAAGTACTGGAGTTCCCAATGGTAGTGAAGAATACGAGGGGTCATAGAGGTAAGTATGAGTTATTGATATGGTTCAAAATGATGAAATTAGTAAGCTGAGCTTCAAAAGAACAATTAAGGAGCAATCAATAGCCTGATGACACCTCAAACTTCTAGGTTACTGTAAGTTCAGGTTGGCCTAAAGCTATTTTTATTTAGTTAATGTTTTTATCTTCCTCTTTAATACAAAGAATAAAGGTCCAATCATCTTCCTCTCAGTTTACATAGTTGGAAGATTTGAATATATAAAGCAAAACTATGAAACTTTAAGATAGTAATATGTAAATTTCTTGATGATTTCAGATTAAGGAAGAATTTTTAAGGCATAAAGTAATTAGTAAGCCCGAGCATAGCTCATGTGTACTACCTTGATAGGGACAGTTCAGCTGGAAATATTGATTATATGGCTTCTCTTACTGCAGGCAAGTCTCAGGCCTCCTGTAAATGCTCAGTAAACAAAGAAGCTACATAACTTTTTTTTATGACCTACCCTTAGAAGTCATACAGTTGCTTCTCTATTGGAGCAATCACAAGTCCTCCTAGATTTGATAGGAAGGAATATAGATTCTTTCTCTAAGTGAGGAATTTATAATCATTTATTAAAAAGAGGTGCCTGCATTGGTACAGAAATAAATAAAACAGTGAAACAGAGACTAGAGAATTCGAAAATAAATTGAAGCATGTAATAAGATTCTGCTATGTTACTTTGCACTAATATAGTATTAACATATAACACATAGACTTTGACTCAGAGGGAAAAGGATTCACTAATAAGTGAGGGTGGCATTATTGGCCAACTTAGAGGAGTACAAATGTAGACCCTTACCTGACAACATATCCCAAAATGGATTCTAGTTCACCATATGAGTTTGGGTTTAGGAGTGATAGAAGATTATTAATTTTGTCTTTATATATTTTTTGTATTTCACTAGTTATCGTAGCTACTTTGGTTGAAATTATTATAACAAGGAAAATTTTGGAAAAGCAGATAATATATCAACTGCATAGCAGATGATTTTATACATACCATATTTTTTGTTTTTCAATCACAGGCAAAGCTGTCTTTTTGGCACGGGATAAGCACCATTTGGCTGATCTAAGCCATCTTATTCGCCATGAAGCTCCATACCTGTTCCAGAAGTATGTTAAGGAGTCTCATGGGCGGGACGTGCGTGTCATTGTTGTGGGAGGCCGTGTGGTTGGCACCATGTTACGTTGCTCAACAGACGGGAGGATGCAAAGCAACTGCTCATTAGGTAAAAACAATTCAGGTGTCTTTCTAGTATAAAATAATACTATAGCTTGTCCACAGTAAATATTTCTATATACAACTATAGATCTTCTTAATAAATTGAAAAATATTTTTCACATGTAAATGATTTATAAACATTCCATCAATGTACTACTCTGTTTTCCTTGTCCTCCTCCTCTCCTAAGTTACTGCCTACTTAGTACCTTCACAGCTGAACACTTAATCTCACTCTCCCTATCCCCACAAATGTGTTCTACCCACAGTATCAGCCTTATCATATAATGATAGCGTTATTCATCCAATTTAGACTAAAATGTGTATAATCAGCCTGGCTCTCAAGCTGGGTGAAATTGCTACACTCTCAAAATGTATCCATCTATTTTCACCATCTCCACTACTTTACATAAAATAGTTATAACCATCTCTCATCTTTGAACTACCCATAGTAGCCCCTTGATGGATCTTTTTTACTCTTGCCCTCTTGATCTCTTCCCAACACAGCCGTGATGTTACATTTCCTTGAACAGTAGTACTCCTTCCTCTTCCATCATGGTTTTACTTTCCATGGTTTCAGTTACACTATGAAAAATGTTAAAATGGAAAATTTCAGAAGTAAACAATCCATAATTTGTGAATGGTTCTGAGTAGTTAAAATCTTGTGCCATCCTCTGCTGTCCTTCTCCATCCTACCTGGAATATGAATCATGCCTTTGTATACAGAAACCACCTGGGACATCTCTGTTATCTGATTGACTTTGGTATCGCAGTATGTGTGTTTACATTCCCCAGCCATTCCATAATGGCTCCAAAGTAGAAGAGTAATGATGTTGACAGTCTCATTACAGTATATAATTGTTCTATTATTAGTTATTATTGTGAATATTTTACCATTACTGGCATTATAAATTAAACTTTATTAGGGATTGGGATTATCCACATTATCAGGCATCTACTGGGGGAAGTTCTTAGAACATATCCCTTGCAGATAAGGGATGATTCCTTCATATTGCAAGCTTAATCAAGTCAGTTCTTTTACATAGTCCTTCAGGAGCTTCCCATTTTATTCCAAGAAAACCATTAGTTCATATCAGTGGCTACCAGATCATACATGATTTATATCTGGTTATCTATAAGATCTACAACCATGTGGGTGAATTTCAAACATAATGTCAATGAAGAATGCAGCTCAGCAGAGTGCCAAGCATGCCCGAGATCCTGGGTCTAATCCCAGCACTGTTACACACACACACACACACACACATTATTTTTGAGATTCATTTGGTTCATTTTCATTGCTGTTTGATCTCACACCTCATATGCTCCATGTTTTCCACTTTGGGGCTTTTATAAGCAACTTTGCTGTGAACACTTTGTATCAAGAATGTTTCTAGATTAGCTCATTCATAGAAATGGGACTGTCCAGATGGGTTTCCTGTGTCATAGAGTAATTGCAACTTCAGCTTGGGCACAAGATGTAGCTAGCTCAGTGGTAGAGTACATCTTCAGCATGTGTGAGGCCCATGGTTCAATCCCTAATACCAAAAACATAAAAACTTCCACTTTATGACTATTGCCAGATGATTCTCCAAATAAGATTCCTCTCTAAATACTGCTTCTTGTAGTGTAGCAGGACAGCATGAATGGCGCAACATTTATTCACATTATTTAGAATGGCGCACAGTTGAAGTTTTTGGATTGCTTATTTTGTTTACCTTCTTGCCAGTTTATAAGATCGAATAGATTTTAGATTTCTTATCAAGCTGGTGTGAAATTATATTGTGCTGTTATTAATTTGCATCTCTTTTGAAGTTATGGATTTTTTTAAAAGTGTGTACCAATCTTAATTCCTCTGGCATTATGCCTGTATATTTGATAGAGCCCCTTTGTTTATCAAAATTGAATGTCCTCTTATTCTATTCCTAGGGAGGCATTTTTAAAAGATAAGAATTCACCAAATTCACCTATATGTTCAGAAGAAATAACAACTAATATCTCTTTAAACTTGAATTTCTTTAAAATGTCCTCTTTCTTTAATTTGAGGGGTAGATTTTTATTTTGTTGGCACATCAGGGCTCGCTTGGTTATATAGAACATTCCTTATGACCTCTGTCCTAGAGTTGTTGGGATTCTTCCTGTTTCCTGTACCTCTTATTTTTCCAGCCTTCATGGTCAGAAGGACTCAGCTCACCTGTCCAGCTACTTTTGGGCCTCTTTGGAGTCACAGACAGTAGTCATACTCACACAGTTCTGTTACTTTTTAGTAGTTGTTTCATCCAAACTCTTCTCAAGCTTCTTTGCTTTCTAATCTTTTTTTTTTGTATTTGTGTGTGAGATTTTTATATTTACAACTCGTGACTCAGAGAGCCTGAGTAAACTTTCACAACCCTTTCTAGTCTTAATTCAGCTACTGAAGTTAGTCTCCAAGTGAGGAGGTAATCCTACTTACGTTCTCTCAGATACTACCAAAGCTTAAGACTTCATCACATTCAGCTAGTTACCTAAAGATCCAGAAGCCCTTTTCTCTTAGGAATGTCAGATAAATTGGCACAGGGCCTACAAAGGAAGAGAATCATGATTACTCAGGTCACTGTATTCCCAGAATCCATCCCAACCTCTGTCCTTATTTTGCATCTCTATTTTTAAAATCAAAATCAACATTTTTGTCATGTAAAATAGAATGACTTGATTGAATTTATACAAAAGCCCTGCAAATCTGCTAGTTCTGCCTCCAGAGAGTTAATCAAGAATAAAAAATGTTAAAAAGAAGAAAAATTCAAGAAAGTTCTGTGCCAAGCACTACACTGAATCTTCATGAATTAAGTGATCTGTAGTTGGACTATGCTCTAGCCTCTTGCTGATCCTCAGTCTCTCCCAAGCACTTCTTGTTGGAACATTGTTCACTTCGAATTTCTCTGCTTTATGTTGTTAGGTCTTCGATGGTTGCATTGGTATTAAACATGTACAAAACAATACAATATAATAACTGCTTACATAGTTTAACATTGTATTAGGTATTCTAAATGTTATACAAATTTAGCATATACAGGAAGATGTGTGTAGATTATACATTAAATTACCTAGTCATGAATTCCTTGAGTCTAGGTAGGAAGAGGATTCCTAATAAAGGACGTCTACACTTCAGAATCCCAATTTAACACCAGACTAGCACTCTTGTTTTTAATACTGATTGAGAAGATAGGATTAGCCATGGAGGCTAACATTAATTTTAACCCAAAAAGTTTATCATTTTGGTAACTCCCCTACCTTGTCTCTCTTTTTGACAGGTGGTGTGGGGATGATGTGCTCATTGAGTGAACAAGGGAAGCAGCTAGCCATCCAGGTGTCTAATATTCTGGGCATGGATGTGTGTGGCATTGACCTGTTGATGAAAGATGACGGCTCCTTCTGTGTCTGCGAGGCCAATGCAAATGTAGGTTTCATCGCCTTTGATAAGGCTTGTAATCTAGATGTAGCTGGTATCATAGCGGACTATGCCGCCTCCCTTCTGCCCTCTGGCCGGCTCACCCGGCGTATGTCCCTGCTCTCCGTGGTGTCCACAGCCAGTGAGACTAGTGAGCCGGAGCTGGGTCCCCCAGCCAACACTGCTGTTGACAACATGAGCGCAAGTTCCAGCTCTGTCGACAGTGACCCTGAAAGCACGGAGCGAGAGCTGCTTACCAAGCTCCCAGGGGGCCTGTTCAACATGAACCAGCTGCTAGCCAATGAAATCAAACTCCTGGTGGAGTGACTCCACCGGTAAATAATTAATCAACAAAACTCTTGTAAAACTTTCCTTTCTCTTCCCCCCACCCTTTCTTTTTTAACCAACTTGCAATGCTGTTCATGGAGGATGCTCAGGAGAAATAGAAAAGTAGTAGGATTGGTTAGAAGAAGGGGGAAACACATGAGACATCTGCTAGTAAGATGTTACTGACTTTCACTTACAGATCCTACAGAAAGCCAGAAGAGGTGGGATTTAGAAATATGGCAGGCTTTTGTAGTTAATCTTTTAAATCACTAAGAAATGTTATGCTCTCAGGCCATGAGGAACATGACAGTTGTATTCATGGTCCTTTGCTTTTTTTATACAAAATTATTTTGGTTCAGATATCTGATAGCATAACTTTACATTGTGTTGTAAAATTTGTAAAGAGAGGAAAACATCTGCCTATATTACAGAAATTTTTTAATAATACAAATCTGAAAATTCTGCCATTTCCCTGTTGGCTAGCAGCTAAAGCTAAAGCTCGTAGTTTATTAAATCTCAAGGGGCTATTTTATTGGGATTTTTCATTTTTATGTTTTGTCTTTCTTTTTTCCCTTAATTTGGGTGGGTGGGCAAAATGACTATAACTCAATAAAGGCTTTTTAATGACAGAATTGGCATGTTTGCATGATGGAAGGGAAATGAACAGTATTGCAATGTCTGGTATAGAAAATAACATTTACTTAATGTAGATAAAGTTACACTAGTTTAAAATATGTGCATTGACTTGTATTTGTTAGTGTTTTAGTCTTTTTTGAAAGCTATGCTCTGTTAATGTTGCAACTTTTTTTTAATACATGCTAGTCTAACATTCCCTGCTCTATGCCTGCATCTTTAGTAGTGGCCAAAGTGAAGAAAGTGCTGCCCTTTTTGTTAACAAGACACTGACTTGAAACATGTATATTTAAAAGCTTTCTTTTTTCCTTTTTTTTTCTTTTGGTGGGTTGGACATTTAAAGAATAAGGACAAGGAAAACTTGTTTAGAAGGCACATCAAAGTCATTTAAGTTCTTAAGTATAAAGCTGAAGTAGTTTTCTAAAGTCAGCATTATACATTTCATTTTTCACATTTTACAAGGGAGCATATATGTATGTGTGTGCACGCATGCATGTGTATGTGTTTTGCTTTTTGTTTACACAACCAAACAAAAAGAATAGATTCTAGCGAATGGAGCATGATGGGAAACAGTTTTTTACTTTAAAACACAAGATGAGTTGTTTTCATGACTTAGACTCCACTGGGGTAGAGATAGTCACCTAAAGACATAAGGAATATAGTTGTTTTTTAGACCTTTTTGTGTGTGGGTGTTTGTTTTCTTTGTTTCTAGACTGTTCAGCATATGATTTATTCAAGGCTATGTGCTTTTCTTCAATGCTTATGGCTATGCATTTGCTCTTTTTACACATGGGATTTTGGGTGGGGTGAACTGGATGCTTTTGTTTGGGGGTTTATTTAACCATATTGAGTCTCATACAGCCCTACCTTTAAGCAAGCCTTCAATACTGACCACTCTTTATATTCCTTTACTTTTCGGAATTTATAAAAGCCCCAAAACTGCATATAATATGAGCCTTTGAGACATGGGTAAAAGTATCCCAACGATGGGTTTGGAAGGTATGTTAAGAAATGGAAGCACTACAGAACTCAGCATAATTTTTTTAAGCAGCAAGTTCCATCTCCCTACAAATCCTCTGAAGCTTTTACCGAAGCCCATTCTTGCCTCTTCAATGCTATATTCCTTCAGATGGACCTTAACGTTATTTCTTGGACACTACTCAAGAGACTTCGAGGCAATAATAAAAGATCAGTATTAACCAGCTCTGACAGATTGGATCATGCTTAATTGTACAGTTTTTGCCCCATTTTAAAAAGGAATGTAATAAAATTTGTTTTTTTTTCCATAGAATTAAATAATATTAAAATTGAGTGAAAGGTTGATTGTTGACAAATAGAATAGTATCTCTAATCTGTGAACTGTCTCATTTCACCTCAGAAAAAGAGTTTATAATTTACCATTAGGATATTCAAATCACATCTAAAGGAATTTGACTTCACAGGGTTATTGGGGGACCCACATAAGTACTTCAGACCATTAGCAGAAAGAAATACTTGGTAATTTTGCTGAAGGATCATATTTTGGAGGGTATATCCTATTTGGTGTAGAGAAATAAATGATGAACTGGCTATTAAATTACCATACGCTCATGTAGAGACCATCTGGTTGCCACACACTGATACGTATTCTTTGAACCATAATATCACATGTCTATAGGTTCATGCATTTACAAAACAAATAGAATATCCTTTTTATGTGATGAAAAAACTCATTTTGTGTTGGCGGGGTAAGTGTCTAGGAAAAATGTAGTTAGCGGTCTATAAACTTTTACCAAATTAACCAATTATAAGAAATACCTGAAATTATCTCTTCTATAGTTTCACTCACTGTTTTTCCATCTTCTGCGCACTCACAGTATATTAGATAGAACGCAGCTTACCAATCTTTCTCTGGGTTTTACACTCACATATTAGAATGAAAAGGGCAGGAACTATCATCTTTAAACACAGGTATCTTCTTGAATTCTCTCATTAAGGTAAAGAATAAGATCAGATTATTCTGAAAGAACTCAGAAGGAACAGCATTAGATATTTAAGTGATAGTTGAACTTATTTTCATAATTGTTTAATAACCTGTATAATCTTGATTAACATGAGAAAATGTGTTTGTCAAATATATGTAATTATGCCAAAATCTGAATTGCTGTAAAGTTTTTTGTATATGTTAAAATTGTAATGATAAATTGTATTTTTAAAATAATTCTTTCTGGTATTGTTTTTATGTCATCCATGATGAAAATTGGACTTTTAATATATCTATACATATGAACTCTTCCACTTAAAATTTTAAGTCATTTTTCTTTTTGATGCCTATAAGTGTCATTTCTGCTGGTTTTTCTTCATTGAACTTTGAAATCTTTCTGTATATGTTATCCATAAGAAAACTACCCTGGAACATTAGAAAAATCCAACAGGAGACTTGGCTTTCACCGAGCACTTTGTTGGACTCTAAGAAAAGATACTGAAGGTGTTGAAAAAAGCCACTGACTTTCAAAATCATCTCTTCTTTTTCTCAAGAGCAAAGCAATGGAAAACAATCTCTTCATTCAGTGAACCCCTAACATGGGGCTTGGGGGGCTTAGAGACATTGTGAAATCAAATCTTGTGTTATTTTTCTCCTGGCTCGCTTTTTTTGAGAAGGTTTATGGGCTATTTGGCTGGTGAGACACGATCCCCTCCTAAGAAAATGTAGGTGCTCAGACAGGTAACCTCTGCTGCTACTGTTTTTATTTGTTTGTTCGTTTGATTTTATTTAAATTTTGTTTTTATTGTACTAGGATTTTAAAAAATGTAATATATTGCAGGACTATAACCAGGTTCACTGCTTTGTTTTCTTTCTTTTAAAAAAATTCATTTAAAGTACAATTTAGGCGCCTTTGAAGCTTGGATTTGGAATGTTTGAGTAGTGGACAGAAATCTGTTGTAATCTTCTAGTCTTCCAGGTTTAATTTGAAATGTTTTAGTTTTGTTTTGGATCTTTGTGTGGTATTTTGTTTCTTTTATACCAGTGCCCTTTTGCCATGCCATTTGTGGTGGCTGCCTAACTTTAGTGAGAGTTTTTCTATATTAACAAAGTTTGGGATTTAAAATTCCTTAATGTTTGCATTTTAAAAATTGTTTTGAAGATATATTCTAACTGCTTGCACTATTACTGTTCTTTGCCAGCCTTTTCAGGAGCCAAAAAACCAAATCCAAACAAACAAAAATACCCAGAGAAAAAACTTTCCTTCTTCCCCCTTCCTGATGATGAGTGAGAAGTATTGAGAACTTTCGGGGTCAGTGCCCTTCTAAACTCCCCTCCCCCCAATAATGCAGCTGTATAATGAATGCTAAATGCAGCGGTTTGGACTCAGGCACAACCCGGCCTGTTTGCAGGTAATTTGACTCTCCTTTTTTCCATCACCAGGCTAACTTTACTTTCTTTAAAGTTTCCTTTCTTTATGCACTTTAAAGACAACCATGAGTTCGTCAGTTTAAAAAAAAATATCTAGTAATGATTTGATTAAAGAGCTTTTGGGGATAAAGTTTGAGCTGATTGAGATGAACTCAGGACTTTGGGGATTTTGCTTAACCATTCAGATGATTCCATTCCTTGCATATATGTCTATAATTAAGTACTTCAGAGTGTGACTTTTGGCTTTGTTTTTGTTTTGGGTTTGTTTCTTCCATTGTGCTACTCTGGCTTAAGCTTTTTCAGGGGTTGGTGTTCCGAATACACAGTGAGCTCACAGTATAAAGACATCAATTAGGAGTGGACAGGTATGGAAAACTAGAGTGGTAAAAAGGTAAAATTAGGTTCTAGGCTATATGGTAAAAACATATAGTGGTCAGGTGACCTTGGTGCTTCACTTTCTGTTAACATCACTCTAAAAGTGAATGGGGAAACAGATAATGGAAAGCATTTTAGTTATTTTAGGAATAATGTGGTATCAGAACTAATTGTTCTAGTATTTCTGACACACAAGTTCCATTAGCGGTAGATGTGAGCTATTTGGATTGTTGTAAATATCATGATTTTAAGCATTCAAAAATTATAGTTTTGAACAGAGAGCATTTCTCAAGTGCAGTACAGTTAGCTAGGTTAAGATCATAAAACAGAGTTAGTGGAAGAATAGGAATACAGCTTGTCCATTTTGATAGCCTTCCTGTTAGAAGACTTTCCCTTTCCTTTTCTTTCCAGTCAACCTATCCTGTCTCCTGTCTTTCCTAAGGTTTTAGCTCTAACATGAGAGCTGAAACTCATATTTTTACAATTTTTGGAGTTAATCCTCTTTCTAGTAAGTTCCAGTGAAAGTGGCTAGAACCTCTTTTACATATGCTTCTGCATGATTTTATTCTTGAATTATATGTGTGCTGTCCAAAGAGGCTGTAAGTCTAACACTAGTGGATTCACTAGTGAATAGGAAATCCTGGCCCAGAGTGCTCTTTCTATAGCTAAAGGGGGTATGTAAAAGGTTATTAGCCATTCTGTACTTCAGTTGACTTAAGGATTGTCATGTCCCTAAGTGTCTTAAGACAAAATAATTTTCTGTTAAACTGAAATTTACTACTGAAGGAATTCCAACTGCATAATACTAAAGGGCTCATTCAGGAGACCCTTGTCTTCCTCCTGAGGAGAATGGCCACCATTAGAATGATTGGAGCACGTGATCGCATAGTGTACGGAGAGTTTAAGAACCTCCATTTCAACTGTCCCCATTGAATACTTGTAAGGAATAATCTTGCTTTTAGATTTTTGTCATATTCAAACTTACTAGGTGGACCTTATATAGCATATATACCTGGATGCTATTGTGGGATTTGGGAACATGAGGGGTGGGGTGAACTGTTGTTGTTTTAGGTTTCAGTCAGACAGACATCCCTGTGCCCCACTTCCCAGAAGCACAGCAGGCCTCTAGGAGCATCCGTGGGAACCTCGCAGTCCTGGCATCACCACCTTCTCCTGCTCAGGCGCATCCCATATACAGAGGTCAAAAGGGTGGGGTTTGAGATCGGGGGAAGGAATGAGAAAGTAGAAACAATGTCATTGCGGTGCCACTGTTGAGTAGCTTTTGGTGCTTATGTCAGTGTTTGTTTTATTTCCTGATTTTTTTTTTTTAACGTTGGCAAACTACATACTTATTGGGGGTGAAAGTAGTGGGAGGGTGGAATGAAAATAAGCCATTACTATTATTACTGGATACAGTTCCTTAACATCTTGTAGAGAATAAATATGAAATGCAGACTCCAATAGCAAACTGAATGGGGATAGACATGAATCTTGTATTTCAGCAAGCAGAAAATATTTATGCTGTGTTAGTTCCCAGTTCGCCTACAACTGAACTACATTTGTCATTCTGTCTCCCATTCTCCCCTAACCCTTATTTTTCTATGTATGTATATAGTTTGAGGAAATGTGCATTCATGGTCAGTCCTTTTTAAAGGACTTAATGAATTTATTACTCTTTCCAAAAAAAAAAAAAAAATCCCATTGCTGCAATGGGCATACAAATGCTACCCTATTTTAAATGTAGGTGGCGTATGTGTTCGTGTTTTAATGTATTCAGAGCCATTGGGCAATAAGCAGTCCAGAACATTGAAAACTCAAGCAGGTAAAGCACCTCACAACCCTTAGTTTCTAGAATTACTTAAAGAACCTTTTATATTGATGCATCTCTAAACTTTAAATTTGCAAGGCTTACAAGCTGTCTAGTTAAGGTTGTAAAATTATGTATTCATGATTATAGGAATAGGTAGAGAAGGAAACAACAGAAAATGACTCCTTGAGATGGCAATGGCTCAGTGTTTAAATAATTGCTCTTTCTTCTTTCTAGTTTTAATTTTCCTAGCTTAGCATGAGCATTGATCAAACATTGTTTGATTTTTTGTGGTTGAGATTTTTTTTTTAACCCTGAGTTTTGAGGAAGGGGAGACCTGGGGTAGACATGAAAAAGTTGGCTCACATGTGAAGATAGGAACTGTTGAAGAGAAAGTTTTTCTGTTTAATCTAAACAGTAAGCAAGAACTTTTTCTATATACCCTTCTGCTGCAGCAGAGAAATAAACTGGTAGGTGGCAGCAGAGAAAGGAATTCTTCAGATTGACGGCTATTGACATAAAATCTGCATAGGAGAAGAAATAGAGTATGGCATACCAAGTGAAGGAATGGGATCAGAAGTAGAAACAAGACCTCAGACACCAGGATTTTTACTCTAAATGGTAAGTTATTTGCAACCCAGAGATGTTTTTAATTTGATGCCATGTTACATAAGCTAAGATGTCATGCTGTGGTGTATAACCATAGACCTCTATAAGTCTTTTGCCCTAGAGTGAATACACTTAATTGGTATACTGTCATTCTTCATTTTGAATAGCAGTGTATAAAAAATATTTTTTAAACCTAGTATATTATCACCTTTAATGCTGGCAAAAATTATTTTGTAAGTAAATCTGATTTTTAAATCTGAGAAATATACACTGATCATTTTATGAAATTAAGAAGACTCCTCCCTCTTTTAGTAGGAGTACAGGAGGAATAATTAAAGAATGTAATTTGAAAAAGTTATACGAGTAATAAGATCTATTCTTCCTCTGGCTGTCTTTTTGATCTAGTCTCTTTTCCTTGTCACTGTGCATGTCTGAAAGTTCCACTTTGCTGGTTCACGTTTCTGTTTTGCTTTTTTTATTTTTTTGTACTGGAGTTTAAACCCAGGACCTACACTTTGAGCCACTTCACTAGCCCCTTTTATGATTTTTTTTTTTAGGTAGGGCCTCCTGAACTATTTGCCCCAGGGTGGCTTCTAGCCGCAATCCTTCTGATTTCTGCCTCCTGGCCCTCTCTCGCTTTTCTGACTCTCCTTCTTTCCCCTCATTTTCTCTCCTTGTTTTTACACTCTCTTTGGTCTCTTTGAGTGCTTTTCTTGTTCCCTCACCAAGACCTTCCAAAGTTTGTTTATCCATTGTTTCCATTTTTCATCTCTTAGGATAGAGAATGTATGTTTTGTTCTCCTCTCCACTTTCATTTGAATTCTCTATGTGTATATGTACCTAGGCATCTACACTGATTTTAGATATGTGAATCAGAGAACCAACGTTGTCATTCCTTATGTTTTAGAATTTGACTAGGGTGAATGGAAGAAAGTAAATGGTATGTTAAAGTTCCCTAGAATTACAGAAATTTTTTTCAGCTATACTGGGGTTTAAACTGAGGGCCTTGTTCTTGCTGGGGTGGGATTCTAACATTTGAGCCATGACCCCAGCCCTAACTAATTTTTTAAGTCTCTAATGAAATCAGAAGATGAGGAGCCATGTTTTAGAGACATATGTACTGGAGATGATGAATTACCAGCCTTTTAAATAAAGCTTAAAACTAACTGACTTAACCTAAATCTCCCACCTCCCCACCCCCCGGATATATATGTGAACATATCAGAAGCCTTTCTGTTATCTATCTTTTTTGAGACTGGGCTTCACTATGTAACCTAAGCTGGCCTCACACTTCTTTTTTTTGTGGCACTGGAGTTTGAACTCAGAGCCTCACACTTGCTAGGCAGGCACTTTTTCCTCTTGAGCTATTCTGCCAGCCCTTTTTTGTGATGGGTTTTTTTTGAGATAGGGTCTTGAACTATTTGTCCGGGTATAGCTTTAAACCATGATCCTCCTGATCTCTGCCTCCCGAATAGCTAGAAGTAGACAGGATTACAGGCATGAGCCACTAGTGTCCAACTGGCCTCACACTTTTGAGGCTTAGCCTTCTGAGTGCTGGGGTCATCGTTGTTCACCATCGTACCTTGCCTCTATTAGCTGTCATAAGCACAGAAGTTTTATCATGGTAAAAATAGGCTATCCAGGGAGACGTGATTATTAAAGAGAGTGAGTCCTGGCTTCTGTTAATACTAGTAGTAGATTGAATGGCCTACAAAGGCATACCAGAGAAGTTTTAGGAAACTTCGTTCTTTGAGATAGTCTTGAGTTTGCAGATAAGAAACTAAAGTTGATTAAAAGTAAGTGACTTGCCCAAGATTACAGAGCCAGGACAAAAATCCAAGTCTATTTGTTAGTGTCTTTGCATTGTGTGTTATTAATTCTCCAAAATCGGTAGTAACTGAGCACGTGCTCTGCAGTGTGAACTGTAATGTCATACAGAAAGTAGTCATTCTTTATGCTTGTGGTGCTCTATGGCCGGGGAGTCTATTCGAAATGGATATTAAGGCAAGCTGTAGGTGATCATTTTAGATGTTTTTGCATGTATAATTGCTCCAGTTTCCTCTGTCCATTAATTTGTTATATACATTAAACAATATTATGTGTACATTATTTACAGGGTTTGATGTTTTTCTTATAGATTTTTAGGCTAGTACAGGGGCAAGTGAATAGTTACATAACACAATTGCATTTATTTGGAGTAATAGGATGCATAGTAATGACACTGATAACTGACATTGTCTAAATATGCATTGGATTTTGTTTAAAACTGTAAAAGGAATTTCCTTGCATTTAAAAAAGAAGTCCTAATGGTGAAAACATAATGTATATTAGTATGCAACATAAGAACATACTACCTTGAACAGTTTTGTCTTAAGAATTTTGGTTAGTATGTAGAAATTTTAATATTTTTGAGCTGAAAACAAGATCAACTTGAATCTTAATTTGCTGAAAATTTAGTCTAGAACACTATAATAAGAGCATTTAATTTGTATTTTGTTTGCTTCTTTTAGTTTAATTTTATTTTTCCTGATGTAAGAAGTTTTGTTCTTAGCTTTTCCCTTTTTATACAGTTTTTAAGAATAAAATGAAGCATAATCTATATTACAGAATTTTAAAGGACCAGTACTACCAAAACATCTTTACATGATTTTAAAATTATTAATTTTAATATCTGCAATTAGGTTGATTTTTGTAAGAAAAAAATTTAGAAATTTGTATGGGCAATTTAAATTAATCCCTTAATTAGATACCTGTCCAAAATAGGTTGTAAAACTCAGGAAAAAGGAAAAAAAAAAAAAGCAAAGTGTAAGCTAATGTGTTGGCAGCATCTTAATGAAGAGACACCATTACGGACCTATAACTTGAACCAGTGACTCACCTGCTGTAGGGAGCAAACTCCAGAGATGAAGAGTCTGTCCTGGAGAGGATCCAGTAAGGTTGTGAAGGACGTTTGCTCTTAAACAGTATCATTGATTTTTTTTTCTGTAGACAAGAACACTAAATATTTCCAGGTTAGAATTAGACTTCACTAGCCATGATCACCAAGACAGAAAATGGTAATAACAAAACTGAGTGTGGTTTTTGATAATGTAGCTGATTTGTAATATTTTAATATAACATTAGTTTTTTTTTTTTTTCCATGATTATAGACTTTCAGTCTGTAATTTAAGTGAGTTACATGTGTTTCTCCTCCCCAGGTTCTCTTGAAGAGATCCTTTGCTTACCTCGCTAACAGGATGGATGAAGAAGATTTGAGTCTGTTTTTTCAAGCGAAGAATAGAAATACACAGAACAAGAAAGCTATAACTCTAACCTATTTTAGTGTTTTCTAAAATAAAAACACGAACTGGAAATAGAATAATTTGGAGTATGACTTGTTTTTTTTTGGAGCTGTGTCAGCTCCATCCTATCTGAATCCACTTTATAGTGTGCACATCTAGACTAAGAGTGAAGCTCCACAATATCTGTATTCTTTTCTACAATGCAGCTTTCCAGTCCTTTGGTTCTCTCATCTTCTGACTTGATCACTCCTTCGGCAGACAGGCAGCATTAAAATATGTACTGATGGATTTCTCCCCAGCCCTTTCATCACACTGTACCTGTTCATGCTGAATAGTCATTGCTATAAATTTTTTTAAGTGTCTGAAGAGTGCTTTTAACAAATGATGGGTTTTGTAGTCAGACTGATAACAGATTCCATTTCTATCCTTTGTGACATAGCATTTGGATATATCATCCTCTTTGCAACATATAGTATTTAAAATGTAAATTGTACAGCTTATTGAATGTGTAAAGATTAACTAGCATAGAATGTATAGTGGTCAGCACATAGTTGAATATTCAATAAATAATGTCCATTCTGTAAATTTTGGCTGTCAGAGCTTTATTTCAAGCTCCTAGATCTTTTTTTTTTTTTTTTTTAATTCTACATGTGGACTA